AACATTGCAATTTCTATTATCAGTGGAGTAGGACAGCGACGTCTATGTTGGTTCGGGCATGTCGTGAGAAAGGCTGACTGTCGGATTCCAAAAGATCTCCTGTATGGAGAATTAGTGTAGGGAAAGTGCCCCAGAGGGAGACCACAGCTGTGATACAAGGAGATCTGCAAGCGGGATCTGAAGGCCTTAGAAATGGACTTCAACAGATGGGAAACCTTGACCTCTGAGCGCTCAGCCTGGAGGCAGGCATTGCATCACGGCCTCTCCCAATTTGAAGAGTCCCTTGTCCAGCAGGCCGAGGCGAAGAAGCCGTCCCGAAAGCAGCAAAATCAGGGAGCTGGGCAATGGACAGACTGCATTTGTCTTCAGCATGGAAGGGATGGTCACTCTCAAACTGGCCTTCTCAGCCACACTAGACGCTGTTCCAAGTCCACTGTTCAGAGCACGTTACCATCGTCTCTCGAGACTGAAGGATGCCTACAGGAGTGGGATATCACGCTTAGGGGCGTATTGCGGTTTAACAAGCCTGAATGCACCATTCTTTACTTTTAGACCGTGAGGATGGGCGGTCAGGAGAGAGAGACTTTTCTGACTGAAAATGCAACTAAGAACATCGACCTCGCTATACGGGGCACCACTGTACTGCGGTTCAACAAGCCTGAATGCACCATTCTTTACTTATAGACCGTGAGGATGGGCGGGCAGGAGGGAGAGACTTTTCTGACTAAAAATGCAACTAAGAACATCTTTCCCCAGGAACGACACCCCACCATTAATCTCTCTTCTCTTCCAGGATTTCTTCTCCCCAATTTGAGATATGGGTGTGTCTCCTGTTTTTCCTGAACACGACATTTTGTACCCCGAGCACTGCCAAAAACGGATTACTGAAAATAAGCAAAAGTCCAAAGTTTCACAGCTTGGATCATGGGAGGCCTCCACCCTTGATCCTGGTGCCGTTTCTAAACTGCAGTTTTCCTGGTCGACAGATCCAAGACACCTGATGCTATCTAGGATCACGAGGCAACCTCCTCCCTTTTCTGGGGACAAAGAAACAATAAATCTAAATTTTGCCCTGCGTACAGTCAAGAGTGTGTCGCAGGCTTTTGTCAAAGTGAACAAAGAACGGCAGAGCACCTTGGTTTAGCTCCGTAACCCAAGCATTGGGTTTGGCTGTGAACAAAAGAATCAGATTTCTTTTTTAGAATTCTAAGATAAACAGCACACCGCAAAATCCGAGGCAAATGTGGAGTTGCAGAACAGATCAGGATCTCTCTCTCTCTCTCTCTCTCTCTCTCTCTCTCTCTCACACACACACACACACACACACACACACAAATCTTGCAGACTTTCCAGAGGACGGGTCTCTTTACTTTAAGTTCGGCTGCAAAGGAATCCAGTCCTTTCTCTTGTGTGCAAGCTTTTCCAGCTTGCATTCTGCTAACTTTGAATCCTAGAATCACAGAATAGTGACGTTGGAAGGGACCTCTAGGGCCATCCAGCCCAACCCCCTGCTCGAGGCAGGAATACAAGTCAAAGGATATCTGCCAGGTGGTTGTCTAACTTTCTCTTTAACTTAACCATTCAGTGAAAAGCAGAGAGTTACAGAAGATGTCTCGCCTGCTGGGCATGTTGTGTTTGATACTTGAATGTGAAGGGCCTTTTCTGTGGCTGCTCCCAGGCTGTGGAACTCCCTCCCACATGAAATTAGGCTGGCTTCCTCTCGGCTATGATTGCAGTGGCAGGCAAGGGTCTTTTTTTTCTCAAGCAGGCTTTTACTAAGTATACCGCTGCTAAGAAAAGGGCTTTTATGAGGGGGCTGTATTTTTTTTAAAAAACAACACATGGCTTTAAAAGTTTTTGGTTGTTTTTTTTTAAAAAAAATATTTAACGTAGGCAGACCAACTACGAGGCGGACTCCAAAAGTCCAAAAGGGAAGCCACAGCCACCTGAATTCGCAACAGCTGAGCAGAGTTAACGACAGAACATTTTGGAGGCCACTCATTTATAGGTTTGTCATACGTTGGAGGCTTAACGCTTGCATTTTTAATTCTTTAGAAGCTGCCCGAGGCCGAGAAAGAAAGGAAATGAGTTTGGTAGCTGCTCTTGGAAACTTCCCTCTGCTCAAAATGATGATGAGTTTCTATCGGTTGCAAAAATTAATCCAGGGTGAGAAGAACCACTTCCCAATCTGACACAAACCAACATCTGGAATTCTCCAGAGTGAGCCATAAGGCTGTCTTTCCTGAAACTCTGCTATATTGTCCACAAAACACAATTGGCTTTACAACAACTGTTAATGCTGGTGTGTGTTGTTTGGGGGGGGGGAGAGACCCAAACTTGGGGAGATTACCTTTTTCAACTCGGACCCCTAGAATCCACCAACCGGCAGGACCACGAGAGGATTCTAAGAGTGACCATCTGATAAAAGAAAGAGCAACTTTTCCAAGCTCTGGGAAAGACTGTGGAGTGCTGGGGCATCGCACCCCTTAACTTTGAAGAACAGCATCACGACGACAGATGTGCCAATCAGTGTATCCTGTGGCTGCTCAGCTGTGTTTATTCTTCTGCAAATCTGGACACCTCTAAAGGAGAGGAAACGTATATTCTGGCTTCCACCGCCCATTAGAGAAGGCATGATGGACAGAAAGCGTTCTGGTCCCTTCCCTGCTAGAAAGGGCCTTGGGCCTCATCCACCCACCTGCCCTGAGACTGCTGTGCAGCCGGGAAGCTCACTCTGGCTCAGCAAGGGGAGGGCAGATGGTTATTTTTTTATTCTGCATTCTGTTTGTAGCTGCCTTGAAGATCATTTAATCGACAGGCGGGGTGCAGAAGAAAATCTTCAAAAGAAATAAATAAAGCAATGCTCTGATCTTAAATCAACAGAGCTCTGGGGGTGGAGAAGCAGGAGCACGGAGGCAAAAGAAGCCCACAGTTTCAAAGCTGTAGCCACACAGTTTCAGCTGCAGCCTTCCTCTGCTCTGAGGAAACTGCAACCTCCCACAGACCAATGGACGAGGGGTGGTTTGTAAGTCTGCTCGCTTTACACCATATAAAGTGGTATTTTCAATAGAGCTTTCTGCAATTTATTCTGCACCGACAGTTGCATGGCTGTCAGGATCAGGGCGAAATCATACCCGTTTTACATCGGAGGTTTGCAATAGTCTTGCTTGAACCCCCAGTCCCACCTTTACAGGTCTCAGCAACACAAAGTCAAGGTCTACACACACACACACACACACACACACACACACACACACAATGCTACCAAAATTGCGCACATACCCTTCCCTACATGACATGAAACCCGGCCGTGTATTTCTCCGCTCAGTTCTAGTTTTATTCTTCTGCTTCAGTCCTGAAATTTTCAATGCAAATGTAGCTCCTCGTTTGTACGTTCTAGGCAATGCTATTCTGGAAAATGCCACCCCCACATGAACCTCAACGTCTCTTCCTTGTGTGACTAATTTAGAGGGTTCTAATGCAGAGGAATGGCTAAAAAGACTGAAGAGTGAACTCCTACGGACTCATGAGATTTTAAACCCTCTCAACCCCCCACGTTTAGATAATGAGTGGAATCACATGGCTCATTTCTACAGGGTTGCAAATAGGAAACATTACGAAGGTAATTATCATATCTCCCTCATCAGATGCCCGGATTCCACAAAACATGCCTGTAACTTTACTAATGGAAGGATAGAATTGGGGTATTGTTATTTTTAGGTTCTGCTTCCTATCCTGGTTATTTTCCAATTTCAGATAGTTGTTCAGCCCTTAGGAAACCTGAGTGGACATACTTTTTCAACAACAATGATTGCCCAATAAAAACAAAGATAATGAGACAAAGATCTCGGAATAATCTCCCAGAGACAAATCAAATACTGTCTCTGGGAGATTATTCCGAGAGATGAATCGCCTTTCCTGTTCCGAGACCAAGAAATTTCAAAACAAAACAATGCGACTTCTGGATTCATGGATAACCTTCCTGCCTTTTTTTCTGGAAAGCTTTCGGCAGCATGCCTGATCTCTAACCCAGGCATTAAACCTGCCACACTTACTTGGAGAGGTTTCCATAGTGGCTGTCTTTCTACCAAAGCTCAGAAAGTTGTTTTCGGGAGCCTGAGTCCCAGGATTTGCCAGCTGGAATGGCCAGCTGTATTTCAGCAAATTCCCAGGGGCTGCAAAGTCAGAAGACCAGCTATCGTAAGATCGAATCCACACAATGGATTGAGCTCCCGTCGCTTGTTCGAAAGCAGTTCGAAAGCATGCAAATGCGAGTAGATAAATAGGGACCACCTTGGTGGGAAGGTAATGGTGTTCCGTGTCTAGTCGCGTTGGCCACGTGACCATGGAAACTGTCTTCGGACAAACACTGGCTCTGTAGCTTGGAAACAGGGATGAGCACTGTGCCCGAGAGTCGGACACGACTAGACTAAATGTCAAGGGAAACCTTTGCATTTACAATACATATAAGGTGACCCATGACCTTGCAGAACACACTTTGCAGCCCCCTTGGGGGTCCAGACCCCCAGGTTGAGAAACACTGCTGTAGACCACATATGAGTTGGATTCTCTCCCTAGCCCCCTCTTCAGTCCCTTTGCCCTGCCCTTTGGGGTAGAGGTTTTGAGGAGGGGGGGTCTCTTACTTCTTTCTGCATCGAAGCACTTATAAAAACTATCCCTGTATAGCAATTAACGTTCAAGAACTGCTTGTGCAAACGCCACTGGGAAGGTTTCATACAGCATACATTTGTGTGTGTGTGTGTGTTTGTGCATGACAGAAGAGAGAAAGGGTAAAGGGGGAGGGGGAGAAGAAACGAGATGGTGGGGAAGAAGGTATAGCTGAACTGGGTGGGTTGTGGGAATGGATGTGTGCCATTGAGACGGGGGTCCCTCTGGTCCAGCCAGTGATGAGAAGTTTGCAAGAGGCTTCCCTGGAGGGAATATGGGTCTTTAGCTCAAAAAGGCTCCAGACCCCATCCCGGCTGTGCATCAAGACCCACCTGCTTCTCCTCCTCCTGCCGGTGGCGCTCCTCCTCCCTGCGTCGCTCCTCCTCTCGTTTCTGCTCCAGCTTCTTCCGTTCTTCTCGTTCAGCTTCTTCAGCCTTTGCAAATGCAAGAGTGGAGAGAGCAACCAGAATTTTATTCTTCAGAAGTTCATATCTCAAAATAGTTCTGCCGGGGTTGTTTTTTTCTTACAGTGCAGCTTGCTAACCCACAAGAAAGCCAGAATTCAACTTATAGGACCTACCTGCTTTAAGCGTCTGCTTTCCCCCAGGTGTTTACAGAAGCAAAGAAACATCAGAGCTTCACACAGAGGAATGCAAAACGACCTAACCAATCTACTCTTCAGCCCAATATAAAAACAACTAGATGACTGTTAGGATAATGCCTTCTATTGCTCACCCATGTGAGGAAAACTCTAAAAGGTCTCCATGATTATGGTATATTCTCCAAAGCAGTGGTCCCCAACCTTGGGTCTCCAGATGTTCTTGGACTTCAGTTCCCAGAAATCCTGGCCAGCAGAGGTGATGGTGAAGGCTACTGGAAGTTGTAGTCCAAGAATATCTGGAGGCCCAAGGTTGAGGACCACTGCTCCAAAGTACAAACAGCGAAGCAACAGGCACACAGATATCTTGATGTACTCTTGCATTTAGACAGACATTTTCTCCTATGTTGGCAAGATGACTAGCCACATGTATCCCCTATATCCACGGTTCTTGCGTGGATTTCCAAAATCTTGCATCTTCGCTGGACAAGCCTGGGCTATGAAAGAACTGAACTAAGATGAAACTGCCTCATGCGGTACAGTACAAACCTCTTATCTGCGGGATCGGTATCCGCTGATTCACTTATCCACGGTTCCAAGCCCTGCCTTGGTGGATGCAGAAAGTAACGGATTATTGCAAATACTATTTTAATAGCGAACGCTCTACATAGCATGCTTAGCACATCACTCTCTAGCAGCCAGTTCTGGTAACTTCATCTTTAGAAATACATTTTTTTCTAGGATTTTAAAAAATATTTTTAGACAGTGGATAAGTGAATCAGCGGATACCGATCCCACAAATAAGGGCTTTGTACTGTACCGCATGAGGAAGTTTCATCTTAGTTCAGTTCTTTCATAAACTAAAACTCTAGGCGACAATGATCACCCACCTCTCGCTGGGCTTTCCGTGCTTGCTTCTCTTCTAACTTCCGCTGCTTCTTTGCTCCGATCTTCCCAGAAAACTGGAACTCTGCGGCTTCAGCTCCATCCTCCTCCTCCTCTGAATAATGTGATTAAAACATTTTTTTTAAAAAAAATGAAGAATAGCAATTGCTTGTTACCAGAGCGATCCTCTACAGGCCAGCCTTGCCAACGCCATGGTGTCTTTGAGGAAGCTTTTAAAGGCTTTCCTGACGAGAAGATTTTTCTACCATGAGGTTGGAAAATTCTATCATCCGTGCAAAAAATCCTGGATGGACAGGATGTTTACACACACAAACAGCCCATCATTCATCTTTTTAACGCGTTTTGTTTTTGCCCTTAGGTTGCTGCGTTAATGGTGGGGCAGCTAGTCCGTGAAATGAGTCAATCACTGCCAAAAATTGGAGATTCAGAGGCAACCTGATTACAAATCTGTATTCAGATTAGAGATGGGCACAAATCAACAAACTACCAATTCGTGCCGGTTCGTTTTTCGTCCGAACAATTGTTTGCCACTTCACAGCCCCGCCTCCTTAGGTGGGCGCCCACTCAGAGGCAGCAACACCGGAGGAGGCGGGACAGGGAAGCTGGGACACTCCTTCTGAGTGGGTGCCCGCCAAAGGAAATGGGACCTGGAAGCGCCGAAACCAGTTCGGCTAAAAAATGAACCAGCACGAATTGCCGTTTTGGCGATTTGTGCCGATCTCTAATTCAGACAGAACAGGATGACAAGTTAACGGACTGTATCAGGAGGTGCAGGACACTGCTCTTTCCATGCACGTCTATAGGAACAGACCAAGGAAAATATGGTCCATTTCAACATCTTGCCTGCATTTAGGAAGCCCTCCCCGCACAGTTATCCTTCTTGTTCTTCCCAGTACGTTGGCTTTGGAAGAGGAGGAAAAGGGAAAGGTCTAGAGAGATCCTGATACCAAGCCCCACACTGTCCAAGGCACTTACAGTATGTTTGTGTGTACAGTATATTTCCATGGTGCAGAGCAGTACTAGAACTGGTTTACAAATAAAAACCAATGAGCCCAAACATCAAGAAATCAACAAAAGACAATCCAACTGCATCATACTTTCTTTCTAAAGCTAGTTGTGTGCTGTTCTTCAAGCTAAGACTTGCCTGCAGCAACAATATAAGCATCAAATGTGTGTGTGTGTGTGTGTGTGTGTGTGTGTGTGTGTAGACATAGCGCTACACCACAGTTTAACTGTATTATGCCCATAAGCTTGAGTTCCCTTATCTGTTTTCTTCTAGGCAAGCAATTCAGTGATGAGAAAGGATCCTTGGCTTCTGTCTTCTTGCGACCGTAACTTGTCCAAATCAGAAACCATCCCTATTTTCACAACACTCCATACAAACTGGCTTGGATCGCAAACCACAGTTTAAAGCTGGCTTGTGTTGACAACCTGTAACTAGAACTAACCAGCTGGTTTGCACAGAACAACGAAACATGGTAAGTAGAGATGGAGACATTCTGCTTGCGATCTTTCTCTCGGAGCAAAACGGGATGGTAAGAGGAAGATCGTAGAGTGCTCTTTAAACCACAGTCACATCCAAACATGGTGAAAGAAATAGTCATATGATTTCAAAGTGCCACATTCGAATGCCGGTCAGCGGAGTGATAAGATTTGACTGGTCAATTGACCAGCATCCCGGGCTCACTGCTGCCTTGGCAGGTCACCAAGAGTGCAAATCTCTGCCGATTGCCGAGATTTGACGCGAGCCGCAGTTGTGCCTTTGAGATTACTTCAGGAGGGTTTGGTAATTTGACAGAAATTATAAGAAGCCAGCCCTGGAAAGATCAAAAGCATTTTTTTTTCTGATTTCATTCTTTTTGAAATGCCTTCGCACTTCAAAGAGATACACCCTAAGTTGAAAAGTTCAGGGCTGTCAATTTACCACTAAAATGTAATCACGAATTCAGTGGGGCACACCGTTAAAGCAGAACAAAGAGAAAGTTCTACAGTTTTCAAAGTGGAGGGGGGAAAAAAAGCACAGTCTGGCCCCCCTCCCAACGTCAAAAAGGCAGGAATCCACGGGGTGGTGTGCTCATTACTCATTGACGGTTTCTCCACAGAGAAATATTCTTGGTTTCGGTGGCTAGAAAAATTCCCCCAATGGGAGAGTGTTGCAGCGCGCATAAGGGGCTGTACTGTGGTGCAAGGCCTAAAAAAATGGGACCTGGAGGACTAAGAAAGGCTGTAGCAAAGAGATCAAGTCATGTGCTCTGCATGGGAAAGCCCTGAGTTCAATCCCTAGTGGAAATTTAGGGTTAGCTTGGGGACAGAAGTCAACGGACTAAGTTGCCGCAAGAACTTTCGTGTTCTCATCCCGTAAAGCTTGTTAGAAACTACGAGATAAGCCAGGGGCTGTAAGGTCATCAGAGATAA